TCATTTCAACTTTTTTATATTACTCATATTAAGAAAGAGAATAAAAAAGGGAAAAAAGCATACTATATTATTTAGGGAATTCATCCCTCTTAGAATGACATATATATTCCAAATCCTTTTTATTTCTTTAACCATATTCAAACAAATGTTTCTTTTTTAAGTATTCTCTCTGGTTAAGTCCCATTGTCTATTTTCTTGGTTTCGACTTTAGTCTATTTCCTTTGCCCAGTATCTTTCTTAATCAATGTATTTTGCTGAATCAAAAGGGTTTTCCATATGTTCGTAAATGTTATGTAGATATAAAAAGTAAATCAAGTGAAGTGTCTTTGTACGGGACTTCTGCCTTTCCATGTTTGTTGAAAATCTTTTTCTTTTTCTTTCTCTCTGCTTCTCTTATCATTTCCTTTCTCTCCGATGTTCCTGACATCTCTAAGTCCATTTTATCCAATCTTTTCTTGTCCTCAGATTTATTTTGTAGTCTTAAGGGATAAGTTGTTTTTTTCCCAATTCTTGTGATTTTTCCCCCCCACTAGGATTAAATCATGTTACCTTGTTTTGTTAAGTTCCATCTTTAAGTTTATTCTCAATTCTATATCCATTTATTTGTTTTATCTGCTCCTTCTCTGTTGTTTTCTGGGAATTTTTTTGTTGTAGAGTTAACTTGGAAATAGATTGATTTATATTTTCAAAGTTATTTTGGATTTCTTTGTGGTTTAAAGTCACTGTTGTTTGAATTAGTTGCAGTATACTATATATCTCCTTCTGTGGAGTATTTATGTTTTCTTGATATGTTCTTTCTACATGTCTCTGATCCATGATGGCCAAGAATTTGAGTTTTTCTCTTCCTTTCTTTTCTCTGCAAATAGCTTTAGAGTCCCAACTAAATAGATATTTGTAATCCAAATAGTTCAAAAAAAATTTTTTCTGAAATTTATAATTCTCTTTGTCTACAGCCCAGATTATTGTCTTTTTTTGTCACAGCTGTTCTTTGTTGTTAAAGCTCTGAAGGTCACAAACACAGATTAGCTTTTCTCAGGTTTTGCCAAGTCTGATGTTAAAGTTATAGCTGTCATAGTCTTCATCCACCACTAGATTCCAGAAACTATTTGTTTTTCAATTTCCAAAATGAACAATTATCTTTAAAATGAGAGTCTTAACCATTCAAACAATTTTAGATTTATCCAGATTTAAGTTTTAAATTTTAGGTTTTATATTTATTTCACTTCCATATATTTTGATCTTCCATAAAAAGATTAATTTGCCGCTTCCATTAGTATAAGAATGGGGCAGAAATCCCCCTCCTTCCCTTTCAGAGGTATTTTGCTTCTTGGGGATCTTTTCCAGGAAATTAAATATAGATAGAAAAGAGAACATTGAATTCCTCACCTAGTTTCAAGCACGTTGTTCAAAGTTGTGCTGGTTAGTACTTTTGGACTTCAGTTGCTAGTAGCTTGGCTGGTCGATGAAGTACGGCCAGCCTTTCTCCTGTCAGGTTAGAAGACTTTCCCCAAGTCGAACGGAATGGCCACCACCGTTCCAGAAGCACTGAGGCACCCTTCTTTCTTTGCCGCTGCTCTGGGGTGACTTAGACCCATTTAGTGTCCCCTGACAGGGTAAAATTAGCTGCGGGAGTGTGGAGAATCCGCAAGCCCGCAACTGGTCACTACCACGCAAAACCGGAAGTCAGATTTCCTATCACTTCTTTTGCTGACATGGTATACTTTCAATTTGGCCTCTTTGTAAATAACACAATCCAAATAGTTGTCACAATCTTTTACATTAAAACCTACAGCCAAGTCAGGCATTTTCTGTAATAATTTAAAGCTTGCATGACCCAGTCTTTTGTGTAATAAATGTGCACACTCATTATGCTTTGGTTCATTAGAAATTATTGTTTGCACACTGTCACTAGTTTCCTTGTGGTACAAATCATATAAATTCTTCAGTTTCAAACCTTGAGCACACAACCTGTTATTCTTTAGGACTCTGCATGTACCCTTTATAAAAATTCCGTCATACCCTTCATTCTCTAAGCAAGACACACTCAGCAAATTGTGATCTAAATCTGGTACACATAAAACCTTATCAAACGACTTACCAATACATGGTACATATACTGTTCCTTGCCCATGTGCAAAAGAATTATTACTATTTGCCAGGCTCACATATTCCTGGGCAACTGGTCCCAGACTAGAAAAAAATTTTGTGGTCCTTGTTGATCAGGATGTCTAGGAAGGATCCATTATTACAATATGCTCACTTGCCCCACTGTCCAACAACTAAATGTCTTTAATGTCTTTGTTTTTTGCTTTCACCAAAGAAACCTGTGTGTCTTCCTTCTTCTGTTGTTGTGCCGTTTCTTTCCTGTTTGTTGTTTTAATCTTCTTACTGGGCAATTTCTCTGGATATGTTGAGTGAATCTACATGCAAAGCAGCGTTTTACTAAACAGACTTTCTCTCACACCTTGTTATCTCTGTGAAATGTGCTCATTTTGACTGAGCTGTATATTAATATCATTTGTTTCTTTCTAATCTTTTCTGTTCTTCTTCCAAAAGCCTCCCGGTTACATCTCAGTTAAATCATGCTCATTTATGAACTCAAGGCTTGCTACCAATACATCCCATGTATCATCAAGGGAGCTCAGCACAATATACACTTTGTGCGCTTCTGAAAACACCATTCCTTGTTCTTCTAATTTGAGGAGGGTTTTCCTCATGAACTGGAGGTGATCTGACAGACTTTCTCCAGACTGTAGCCTTGCTCTCTAAAAAGTTTTGGTGAGAGTTACTTTGCTGCATGCCGTCTCCCGTAAGGCAAGCCAGCATTCACTAGCAGATATGAGTCCACACACATGTATTACCTGACTATCTTCCAAGCACAAAAGAATGCTGGTTAGTGCTTTTTCATTTAGTTTTTGCTGTTCCTCATTGAGATCTGCTGGAAGATTGCTTACAGTTGTCCACAAATCCTCCCTCCACAGAAACATCTGCAATTTTAGGCTCTATGAGAGATAATTTGTCCTATTAAGATGAGCCAAAGGAAATCCTCCTCCCATTCCTGTAACAGATAGCACTGTGATGTCTTTACAGGGCAATAATCCTCAACCTTTCTCTGAACCCTACCTCATAGAAATTTTTACTGTCGCTTCTGGATGCTTCTGGGCCCATAACATGTCAGGGAATTGCGCAGCAGGTGTTCAAATGGAGTCAGAGAAGCTGTAGTTTTATATAAATAAATATATTTAACATCTATATTTACAGCAAATAAGGTAGTCAGGCACATCACTATATCATCAGGTAAATTACAGATCAGCATACAGAGCACGCAGAAGAAAAAAGGCGGGAAAAGGGGAAACTTCCCTTTTATATCCAGCAACCAATCATAACATAGATTGTATCATTCAGGAGCTCGTACTCTCCAACCAGTCAACTACCACTATGAGTTCTGACCCATTAATCACTTTACTGTTTCAGCTATTAAATTAAATACCTTAACACACTGCTTCGATAATAATCCTCTAATTCATGATATACAAGATATACAAGAAAAAAATCAACATTATTTAGACATAATTCTAGCAATTACTGATTCAATCTTGAAAGATTTTAGGTATTTATGAATTTAATTCCCATATTTCTGCCAACACATAGAGTATAAGACCACATGCATTTATCATTTAAAATAAAAAATAAACAATACAAGGTATAACATAACAAGAACCTCCCATAAATATAATTGTAGGTTATGAGATGTCTATAGGCAATTTATTTTATGGGCACCTGCTTCAGTATCCACCAATCTTCCTTGAGTCTCATTTGAAAGCACTGGAGTCAAGCATTTTCTTTATTCAAAACTACATCTCTGGACTTCCATGTAAGCATCCTTTTGTTTAGAAATATGCCTATATTTCCCCAGGTTAAAAAAACACACGATGTTCTGAGATGCCAAGGGAGGGTAAGGGGAAGCACCGTCTGTCCAAATGATAGGGTGATTTTCTCAAACTGCCTGATCTCCCCCACCATCTGTAGCCAAAATCCATTTCCAAGTCAAATGTCACTAATACTATAATTGGAGCTAGTCTAATTCCTTAGGTTAAGGAGTTCCCCTGAGATTTTAATTATATTACATGCTATTACATTGTCATTTTTCAACAGCTTTAAGGCAATACATAGCTCACAACAAATTGGTAGCTAGGTCAAAAAGAATGAAATTGTAACAGATGTTTACTTTGTGGTCCCTTTCTTATTATTTTATGGTAGTATATACAGCTTCATAATTTCTGTGCTATATTTTAGAATATATCTAATCTGAATTATACTATAAAACAGCACTGAACAAAGCATTCAGAATGAAATAGTGATGCCACTCTTAAACTAGAGGTTTTGGAATGTAGCAGATAGAACTCCAACAACTCTGGAACAGAAACAAATACTTGTTAGTGGGATGGAATGTAGAACTTAGAACATCATTTACTATGTGAAAGGCAATATGATGCACTTCAGGCTGGATTTGCTCCAAGCTTGCTTTATTTTGAGATGGAAGTAACTGGAGCACTAACAGATTATTTTCTCAATGGAAGATCAAGAAAAGTCAGCAAGTGAATTATAAGCCCTCCTTAACTGTCAGTGTGCGGTCAATAGAACAAACCATTGATAATGTACTATGAAGACACAACACACATACTTTAAATAAACACATATGCCCATGATTAATTGTTTGGGCTCTATACAAGGAGATGCTACACTCGTGCTACAACTCTAAAATGAGGCAAATGCAAATTAGCATTTGATTGCTTTCAATGTATTTTTATGTTTCGGTAACTTTGGAGAACCTTCATCCAAGCAGCTGTCTGAAAATCCTAGGGCACAGCCCGGATAAACTTGTTTTGTTAATGATCTTGCTTTTTGCTGGCTTCAAATAAAAGGCAGGTCTTTTTCCTGGCATTCACAAGCTGACACTAAAGCAAAACACATTTTCTACCTTCTTCTCTGTGCCCCAGTGCTGCAAGGTGTGGACTGAGAACAGCAGAATGTCCTTCAAAGAGTTTCAGAAGGAGCTCAATGCTATTGGTTACAAATTATGGCTTAAACTCCAGAGACTACCCAAAGCTGACCCACTGGAGATCGTCTGTTTTTTTATTATTATCTTATTCATTGGTAAGTATACAACTTCCTGATGCTTGCAACAGATCTGGGCTCAGCTACCATGTTTGATAGGAGCTCTAAATAGTACTGTTTCATAAGCTTATTCTGTAATTTAAATCTTTTCTGATTTGTTAAAGACTATAAAGTTCAGAAGGAACTAAATGCTTTAATTTAGAATGGGATAGTCTAAAGTCTTTATGTATAGTGCAATACAGCAAAGCTTTTCAATATGGTAGCATGTATACAATATTTAAACCAAGCTTTTTGAACTGGATGGCTTCAGATATGCAGGGCTACAATGCCTACTATTCCAAATCAGCATGGTCAATCAACAAAGTAAGAATTATGAGAATAAGGCTTCTGATTTAAAAACTGTACTAGCATCACTTTTGTTCCAGGTTATAAACACTAAGCATAGATAGTCCTTGTTTAATGACTATTAATAGTTACAACAGTAGCAAAAAAGTAACTTTACGACCAGACCTCTCATTTATGATGTTCGCTGGTTTGTAAAGCAAAGGAAAGCTGAACTAAGATCATTAGAATAGTTTCACTTAGCAACTGCTTTGCTTAATGACCAGATTGCCAGTCCCAATTGTGGCCACTAAGCGAAGACTACCTTTAATTGTAAACATGCACATCTCAACATTATACCGAAGTACACACGTTTATAATTGGGCGTTTATCAGTGTAAAAAGAAGGGATACTTGAAGCATTAGAAAGCAGATTGTGTGGAGCAATATGAAATGTCTGGGGTTATATTTCCATGGAAATTTACTTCTGAAATATTCTAATAACATGTGCATATTTGAACCAGCTCTAAACTAGATCAGGAGGAGTAAAAGAGTTCACAGAACAAATGAACATTTAATTAAGGCCCATTAATTTTTAGGAACATAACCATAAATAAAAGCAGCTGAAGAATAATTTAAAGTGTAAAAAGGAGACGTTGGCAGACTAGCCTGAAGAAATCTAAGCAAATTGTTGAGTCTATTCCTCCCCTTTTGAGTGGTCCGGAGAAGAGGAAAACCCAGGATTTGTGGGAAGCGAAACTAAATCCACTAAAATTCTCCTCAAGTCTATGTAGAAGGAGAAGGGTGGGATGTGCACATACCCAAACACTTTGCTTAGGTTTTTTCTGCACCAGGCATTCAGCTATACCTACCTCTCCTTCCACATTTCCTCACTGAATGTGGCAGAAAGCATAACAACAACTTTAAGCCCAAGAAGCTCAACAATTAAAAACACTAAGCCCCAATTTATAATTTGAATATCAAACGTAATAATTCTCACCAACTAGTATTTTGTTGGCATTATAAGCAATCTCAGAAATTACTTTCCAAAGCTACATCTGGAGTACATCTTCTACACTCACTGCGTAGTGGGCTGGGCTGGTTCTCATTTCTGGTCCATTTCCAAAGCCAATATTCTTTGTCTCCTTTCACCTTTCAGTTACGATGCTTTCAATGATGATCATAGCTTGCAGCTTTTGCTGCAGCTGCTTTTACAATGGAAAACCAAAAGAGAAGGCCAAAAGGAGTGAGGTTCAGCCTGCAGATGATTTATAAAACTGAACTGAAAAAAGAACACTGAAGTTGGGGAAAGACTTGGAATGACTCCAACATGGCATACCAACCCATGGAACATAATGGTAAATGAGGAGATAAAATAAGAGACAGAGAGAGAGAGAAGGAAAAAGAGATTGAACCTGAACACAGGACTCTGTTTTACGACAAGGCTTTTGATATGTTGAAAATGCACCACTTGCAATATTTTTCTCTCTCAACCTATCAAGGCAATACAATTTTTAAAATTCCACAAAATTCCAAGTGTAAAATCTGGGCAAACATGCAGAGGAAAATTACACCAGATTTCATTTCCACATTACAGCTGAGGAAGCCCCAGAGAGATCAAGATATGTGCAAGCATTCAGCAGAATGAAGTCTGCTCAACCATTTAAAGCTAAGTTAACCAGAGACACGATAGCTAAGCAAGTCATTCATTCAGAAAACATGCAGGCTTGACGCTGACAAACGAGTTCAGAGACAGCAAAGAAAAGCAGCAACAAATTCTCTATTCTTCCTTCCCTACTAAATAAAAGAATAAACAACTGTCAAAGAGAGGACATATGCTGTAGCTGCTGTATACCCAAGGAAAGCCGAAAGGATACGATAATGCTCACAATGCTGTATTATTTCTTGTCTGTAAAAATTACTGCCTTTTTAATGTTTTGGTGTCTTCTGTTTAAGCTTTGTATATGACAAATCCTTAACTCAAAAAGAGGGAACAAAAGAATCACTCGAACTTATGTTGGGCTTAAGATTTATGCATGTCCTCTATGAATACTCTTGTGAATAATTTATAGTTGTGGTGGGCTCATGTTATATTTAAGGCAATTAAAATATACCAAAGGGGGAAAAAAGGCAACTCTTGGACTATACTCAAGAAAGAGGCATGGTAACAGGAATTCTTCCAACCATTCACTGAGGTTTGCAGTTTAATCCTTTGCTCCCTTCATTGGGATCCTGTGTTTCAAGGTGAATTTATACACGGAGAGATCAGACAGAGTACTGTAAGAGCAGGTTTAATTCAGGAAATGTATGCAGCAGCTGGACAACAGCATTATGCTAAATGGTACAGCAAAAACATAACCAAGAATGAGCTACCCAGCTACAGCTTACAACAGAGTATAAATCCCTTTCCAAAGAGACAGTTTCTGCTTCAGTCGATTTCAAAGGGGGTTATATGTGCACAAGAGAGAAACAATGGCACTTGACTTGTGTAAGTGGAAATAGAAAAGTTGGTGATGGATAACAGTATCTCTGTTGTTCTTTAGAGGTATTGGACTATATCTGTCATCACCTCCAGGAAGACTGTTAAGATTCCTATTGTAGTAATAAGTTAACTATCTCATTTACCACAAAGCGGTTTGACTCCAAATTTAAGGTGAAATAGGGTTACCTGTTATCACAATACAAAATCTCATAGATATCTATCCCATGAATCCACATTTTTAATAATAGATTAATAAACCCTTATTCTGGTTCGGCACTTTAAATATGCTGAATATATATGCCATACCTCAATTAAAACCTTTTTGACTCAAGCTTAGAGCAATGCACCAGTTATATATTGTGCCTGCAAATATTTAATGCTTCCAAATTTCTGCAGTCCCAGGCAAGCTGCAAAACCAAATTTATCAAGCATCCAACCGAGTTGTCATGCAGTGTTGCTGCATTAAGGTACAACTGAAATTGTTTTTCTTAGTGGAAGGATAAGAAACCTATGGCCCAGACATTTAGAGCTATAATTGGGAAGAACCTCAATCAACGTAAGTAAAGATGAGAGATGCAGGGAGCTGCATTTCAGCAACATCTGCCAGCAAGTTCTATTTCTATATGCTATGAAGAGTGATGAAAAGCCTCCAGTATATTTATTCTGGGTGTGCACTGTTTCAGAAGTCACTCCCTTATACAAATGACAGGAATAAGAAAACAGCATCAGCAACCACAGAGACACAAAGATTAACTTGATTTCAAACATGGCTGCTTTTTTATAATTGCACAGCTGCCAGACTGGAGAGAACAAGTCAGTCACGCAAAATGATCCCATACTAAATCATTACCCAGCTTTTCCAACAATACAATGACAGTGCGCTACAGAAAAAAACCCGGTACAATATCCCCAATCTATTAATACTATAATAAATTTAAACCAAGTATTACACTGGAAAAAATGCTTGATTAAAAGAAGCTGAAACCAATGGTAGACCCAAATAACTGTTTTTAAGGATTAGGGAGGAAGTCTTCCAGGAGAAAATATTCAACCCTTTTATTGGACACATCTACTTTTCTCACAAAACTATTAAGAGAATTCAGGGGGAGGGGAAAGGAGCAAAAGTATGTGTTGTATTGAGAAAGGCCTTGCAATGAAAAAAAAAAATAAGCACCTTTTTTGAAATACTAGTTTTGCAGATCTTCAGTGAAGGCATGTAAAACAACTAATACTCTGTTTCTAAAAGAAAAGTCTAGTGTGTACTTTTGTCATCATTCACATCATCATTTTGGGAGGATTACTGTTTTGGCTTTAAACATCTGTAAAATATTTATTGCTCTTAACAGGAAATTATAACACTCATTCCTTATCAAAAGCTAAATTACTGACATATTCTTCATAGAATATAAAGAACAACTGCCTGCTCAAGAAGGCACCTATGTATGACATTTTATAATGACTTTAGATGAAAAATTAATAAAACAAACATCTTCTTGCTAAATAAAGGTAGAACCCCTTCAAAAAGATAAAGCTACCATTTTTCAAGAATGCAAATTCCCAAATGCAGATTTTTCCTAAGATTAGCTTCCATAACTCAATCTATCCAAAATTTCTATATTAACATTTTACTCACTTATATTGTATTCTAATGTAGCCTTAAATAGAAACTACAGCCTTACACGCCCAGATTTTCAATTACCAAAGTTTTATTTGTTTTTAGGCTAATTTAATAAATGCAAAAGAATAGAAAGCAGAATTTCCCCTGAGTGCTATAAAGTATGTGGAATACTACATAGTTTTACAAAAATAAAATCAAAAGCCACGCCTAATTATACTTTTGAATTATCAAGAATTGTGCAGAAAAGAAACTTCATCCAAAATGTCAGATACTCCAGCAATAGTAAATGGACCCTTGCAAATACCTAGGAAAGGGACTAAAAGTAAATCCACAAATATAATGTTCGACTTACAACAGTTAATTTAATGAGTTACAGCATCACTGGAAAAAAGTGACTTGTGACTGTTTTTCACACGACCGTTGCAGCATCCCTGTAGTCACATGATCAAAATTTGGATGCTTGGCAACTAGTTCATATTTATGACAGTTACAGTGTCCTGGGGAGGTCATGTGATTCCCTTTTACGACCTCCTAACATGCAAAGTCAATGGGGAAGCCAGATTCACTTAACAATTGTGTTACTAACTTAACGACTGCAAGCGATTCACTAAATAACTGCGGTAAGAAAGGTTGTAAAATGGGGCAAAATTCACTTAACAACTAACTGTCTCATTTAGCACAGAAATGTTGGGCTCAGTTATAGTCGTAGGTCGAGGACTACCTGTACTGTAGTGATATATAATCTTTGGGTGTGGGGGTGCACTGAAAATACTGAACAAACTTTTGTCTTACTGTTTAAGAGAAAAGAGACCTGGAGAAGTTGCAAAACCCAAATACCAAAAGTGATTAAAGGACTCACTAAGGGATTAGTGAGCATCTAGGAATCTTTTGCTTAGAAGTAAACAACACTGAACTTGGGTCTCTCCAATCTCATCCAGAATCTTCATTGCAAATACCACTTTTATTGTACTTACCTTTATAATGAATATGAAAATAGATAGCCGAGGACCAAAATTTATTTCCCAGCAAATTGGAAAATGGGGAAAAAAAATTCCCAGCAAATTATAAAATTTTCCAGAGTGCTTTTTCTTGTAGTTATGACAAGTTCTACTCAGTTTTGGAGGTGGATTAATCATGGTGAAAATAAATTCATCAGTATTCGTAACAGAACTGCAGATACACCTGTCCCGTAGAAACTTCTGTATTGGAGGAGAAATAATCTGTTGGTGTGTTAATGATTTACTAAAGAATAAATACCCATATTAGATATTCTGTATTTGTAATTCACGTAAGTGAAATAAGGTCTTCTAGCAGACAAGAGTGCATTTGATAAGATTTCCACAGAAGCAAATCACATACAGCACAGAAAAAATCTACACAAAGGTAAGAACAGAGTCATTCTTTTGCTTTTGTATTCTCAAAGTATATTAAAATTATTACAACTAAATAGCTGTTTTATAAGGATTTGGGAGTTGAAGCGATTGCTTTTGGCAAAGTTGTCATCATTCTATAGGAAGTGCTTATGGGATTACAAAAAGTCCTGAAGGCTCACAGATGAATTTTTAGAAAAGTTTTTTTTCTTACTTCTATCTGTATTAGTCTGGCTGAATGTAGTAATAAATAAAAGATCCTTTCAAAATCAAATGTGTAGTGCTATAAGGATGCTTCAGGTAAATGGAGTTACTAACATGCAGATAAATGGCAACGTTTCAAACATTCAAACTGAGTTTGTCCCTATAATAGAGAAATTATTTTCCTTGCCCCTTTCATTCCAAATCAGATTTAAGGCAAAATTTGGAAAGCAAGACTAAATATAAACAGACTGAATCCAGCTAATGTTTAATTTTCAGTCTTTAATCAGTTCACTTTACATTTGCTGATTCAATGCATAATTCATATATACTTTCAATGAAAACAAATCAGGGGAATTACTTTAAAGCTGAAAGTAGCTTTAACATGCTGTATTATTATTATTTTTTTAAATGACATTTCACACTAAGATAATTAGCCATGTCACTTAAAAAGTAAAATGCTAAATATGAGAAAATTCTGTTTGAAAGGTAGAATACTAACATTTGTGAGAGACAGAAAAAATTATGCCCAGCAATACCACTATTGTTAATCACAGGAAAGGTAAAAAAAAGGTGGATTCCACACATCCTAGTACACACAATGCCTGATTTATACTAAGTCATAGTTGATTTAAACATGTTTTTTTTAATAAACCAGAATTGATGGGTTAAGCCAAAAACAGACACATTATTGCTTAGTGCAATGTGAAATACCAGTTAGCCTGTGTTCACATTATGTTCAAATAGTAGCAGAGTCTTGTTAGCAGCCAATCAACTTCTGCCAGTCTATATCAGACATGTCCATATTAGGAAGCAATCAGAACAGTACTTCATTTTTTCCTTAGTCTATTTTAACATTTACGGTATGTTGTGATCACTACAATATTATGGGGCAACATGTTCGGCAGCTTAACTGGGACTGTGACAAGTAATAAGATTAAATATCCTGGCTGTCAGAAGGAGACTGTTGGCAAAACATGACAGGCCTTCAGAATGACAATATTTGCTAGTTTCCTAGCCTAGCAAATGTGATCATTATTGCAGTCATTCAGAAGCTCCTCCTCCAAATTATGTGATTTGCAGAAGGAGCCTTCCAAACCATCGCGAGAATGGAGCCCACTTGCAGAATGGCACGAGGCGGCCCCGGTAGGAAGGCTGTGCCTTGCATAGGCTGGGTGCACCTGTCTGTAGCTGCAGAAGAATGCAAAGATATATGGACTCTAGTGTGGTGGGGCAGGGAGAGGACC